CATCGGTGATGCCATCCAGCCATCTCTCCTTCTGCCCTCAATCTTTCCCAGCATCAGGGACTTTTCCAATGAGTCAGCTGTTCGCATCAGGTGACCAAAATACTGGAGCTTCAGCTTCAGCTGCAGTCCTTCCAATGAGTATTTAGGGTTGATTTCCCTTAAGATTGACTAGTTTGATCTCCTTGCTGTCTAAGGGACTCTCAGGAGTCTTCTCCAGCACTACAGTTCGAAGGTATCAATTCTTTGGTGCTCTTCCTTCTTACGGTCCAGCTCTCACATCCGTACATGACCACTGGGAAGACCATAGTCTTGACCATACAGACCTTTGTCGGTAGAGTAATGTCTTTGCTTTTCAACACTGTCTAGGTTTGTCTTTTAGAGCCCAAGAAGAGGAAATCTGTCACTACTTACACCTTTTCCCCTTCTATTTGCCATGAAGTAATGGGGCTGGATGCCATGATCTTAGTTTTTTTTAATGTTTAGTTTTAAGCTGGCTCTTTCACTCTCCTCCTTCACCCGTCATCAATATGCTCTTTAGTTCCTCTTCGCTTTCTGCCATCAGAGTGGTATCATCCGCATATCTGAGGTTGTTGATGCTTCTCCTGCCTATCTTAATTCCAGCTTGTAACTCATCCAGCCCAGCATTTCTCATGATGTGCTCAGCATATAGGTTAAATAAACAGGGTGACAGCAGACAGCCCTGGTGTACTCCTTTCTCAATCCTGAACAAGTCAGTTGTTCCCTACAGGCTCTAACTGTTGCTTCTTGACCCACATACAGGCTTCTTAGGAGAAAGTAAGATGGGTTGGTATTCCCATCTCTTTAAGAGCTTTCCACAGTCTGTTATGATCCACACAGTCGAAGGCTTTAGTATAGTCGATGAAACAGAGGTAGACAGTTTTCTGGAATTCCCTTGCTTTCTCTATGATCCAGCGAATGTTAGCAATTTGACCTCTGGTTCCTCTGCCTTTTCTAAACCCAGCTTGGACTCTGGAACATTCAGTCAGTCAGTTCAGTCACTCAGTCATGTCTGACTCTTTGCAACCCCATGAACCACAGCACGCCAGGCCTCCCTGTCCATCACCAGCTCTTGGAGTTCACCCAAACCCATATCCATTGAGTCGGTTATGCCATCCAACCATCTCATCCTCTGTCGTCCCCTTCTCCTGCCCTCAGTCTTTCCCAGCAACAGGGTATTTTCAAATGAGTCAGCTCTTCACCTTTTGGCATCACTCTCAAAAGAGTCAACTCTTTACCTTTTGGCATCAGGTGGCCAAAGTATTGGAGTTTCAGCTTCAGCATCAGTCCTTCCAATGAATATTAAAAACTGATTTCCTTTAGGATGGACTGGTTGGAGCTCCTTGCAGTCCAAGGGACTCTCAAGAGTCTTTTCCAACACCACAGTTCAAAACCATCAATTCTTCAGCATTCAGCTTTCTTTATAGTCCAACTCTCACATCCATACATGACCTCTAGAAAAACCATAGCCTTGATCACACAGACCTTTTTTGACAAAGTAATGTCTCTGCTTTTCAATATGCCATCTAGGTTGGTCATAACTTTCCTTCCAAGGAGTAAGTGTTTTTTTAATTTCATGGCTGCAGTCACCATTTGCAGTGATTTTGGAGCCCAGAAAAATAAAGTAAGCCACTGTTTCCCCATCTGTTTGCCTGGAACATTACCAAGCTCCAAAAGGAAACCTCTTACCTACTAACAGTCACTCCCTACTCTCCTCTTCTTCTCAGCCTCTGGCAACCATTAATCTGCTTTTTATCTCTACCAGTTTGGCCTGTTCTGGAGGTTTCATGTGAATGGAATCATAAGTGACTGGTTTCTTTCATACAGCATAATGTTTTCAAGGCTCATCCGTTTTATATCATATATCGCCACTTCATTCATTTTTGTTGCCAAGCAATCTTCCGTTATATGGATATACCACATTTTGTTTCTTCATTCATAAGTCGATGAACATTTGGGGTTTGTTTCCACATTTTGGCTATTATGAATAATGCTGCTATGAATAGTCTCATGTAAATTTTTATGGATACATGTTTTCATTATTCTTGGACATATCCTTAGGAGTGGAAATGCTGAACATATGATAACTCTATGTTTAACATTTTGGGGAATTGAAATTATTTTACAAAGCAATTGTATAATTTTACATTTCCATTAGCAACATGTGAGGGTTCCACTTTCTTCACATCCTTGTCACTACTTGTTATTATCTCTCTTTTTTTTATAGTCATCCTACTAGTGGTGTGAAGTGGTAGTTTTAATTTTTATTTATTTTACGTCTAATGATGTTGCACATCTCTTCATGTATTTGTTGGCTATTCATATATTTCCATTAGAGAAACATCTATTCAGATTCTTTACCTATTTTTCAATTGGGTTGTCTTTTTATTATTGAGTTATAAGAATTCTTTATATATTCTATATAAAACTCCCTCATATGCATGATTTTCAAATACTTTCTCCTGTTCTGGAGTTCCTCACTTCCTTGATGGTATCCCGTGAAGCACAAATGCTTTTAATTTTGATGAAGTCCTGTTTATCTATTTTTTCTTTTGTCACCTATGCTTTTGGTGTCATATCTAAGAATGTTTTGCCTAATCCACAATAAAAATGATTTATTCTTATATTTCTTTCTAAAGTTTTTATAGTTTTAGCTCTTAATTTTGAGTCTACGATACATTGGAAATTATTTCTGTATATGGTATGAGGAAGGGATCTAACTTCAGTCTTTTGCATGTGGATGTATAGTTGTCTCAGCACCATTTGTTGAAAAGTCTTCTCTTCATCATTGAACTGCCATGGTACCCTTGTCAAAACTCAATTAATAGCAAATACAGTGATTTATTTCTGAACTCTCAGTTCCTCTCCATTGATCAATATATCTAGTCTTTTGCTGGTACTTCACTACATTGATTCCTATCACTTTTTAATAAGTTTTGAAATTGGGAAGTGTATGTCTTCCAGCTTTGTTCTTTTCTGAGATTGTTTTGGCTATTCAAGATACCTTGCATTTACATATGAATTTTAAGATTGGCTCTTAAAATTTGGCATAAATGCCAACTAAGATTTGATAAAAATTTTCTTGTGTTTCTAGATCAATTCAGCATGTGAGAGAGGGTAGGGGATAGTCACAGAGAATGTTACCATCGTTTCAATATTAAGTGTTCTGATCCATGATCATAGGATGTCTTTCCATTTATTTAAGTCAATCAATTTATTGCAATAATGTTTTATAGTGTTTTAAGTATGAGTTTTGTCCCATTTTTTTGTAAATTTATTCCTCAGTGATAGGTGATTTGTTCTTTGGATGTTACTATAGATGGAACTGTTTTCTTAATATGATTTTGGACTGTTTATTGTCATTACTTTTATTTTTAAAGATTTATTTATTTGACTGTGCCAGTTCTTACTTGAGGCTTGCAGAATCTTTGATTTTCGTTGAGGCATGCAGGATCTTTAGTTGCGGTATGGGAACTCTTAGTTGCATCATTTGAGGTCTAGTTTCCTGACCAAAGGTCAAACCCAGGCCTCTTGCATTGGGACCATAGAATCTTAGAATCTTGGATCACTAGGAAAGCCCCTCATTACTTTTAAAATTATTGATATTTGGCTTTACAAAGCAATATATGATCATTTTTGTAAATGCTCCTATGTGAAAGGAAATATGCATTCTGAAATTATTGGGTACAGTGTTGTCTATATGTCCATTAAATCAAGTTTGTTAAATTTGTAGTTCAAATTTCCTGTAGTCTTAATGCTTTTTTCTGCTTATTTTGTTAACTACTCAATGAAATATATTAAAATATCCAACCATAATTTAGAATTTTTCTATTTCTCATTCTAACTTTGCAATTTTTATGTATTTGTGACCATGTTGTTGGTGTCAATATAACTACACTATGTTTTTGCTTAGTATTTGTATGGTTTATATCTACCCATCTTCTTACTTTCAACTTTTCTGAATCCTTATATTTCAAATATTTTAAATTCTTAAGTTTTAGATGGTTAGATCACTTCCTTGATGAATTTTACTTAACATGTGAATAAGATATACTAACCTTCTTAATCAACTGTTCAAAGAACACAGAAAGCAGAAACATTTCTGGTTTGATTTATGAAACTATCTTAATCTTGATACCCAAACTTGAAGAAAACACAAAAAAGGAAGATCACTAGCCAGTCTCTCTCATAAACAAATGTGCAAAAATCCTAAACAAAATATTAACAGCATGAATCTATCATTTTTATTTTTGTATTACTAATAGCAGTTGTGATATTACTAACATACTTGCGCTTAAATCTACTTTTACTCAATGCCTATATTTGTATCATCTGTTCACCATTCTGTTTTCTTCCATTCTTGCTTTGCTTTTGGATTTCTATTATTTTTCTTATTAGTTTGGACTTTTTAAAGATTATTTCAGAAATTACAATATAGTCCTTAATTTGCCTTTCTCCAATTTTGTATTGGGCTTTTATCCTCATTCAAGACAGTGCAAGATTCTTGGACTATCTTAATTTTGTTAATCCCCCTTCCCAACATATTGTTTTGTTTTATACACTATAGTCCTCTAGAATTACTTATACATTATCATTTCATTTCTTCATATTCTTTCCTGCAGTCCTAAATTGAAAGGGGTCATTGAATGCTAAGCAGGATTAAAATTTTTTCAACTTATTCCTAAAAAATACTTTAAAAATTTTATAATATTGGGAGCAAAGAGGAATTTATAAGTAGGATTTAAAAAAAGACTTATACATTATGAATACAAGAGGAAATAGTGGGACGCATGAAACAAAGTAGAGGAAAGTACTAAAACAATTTCTTCTTATGTCTAGGTAAGTATTTATTATATAAAATGTAATAGAATAGAACTAAAATGTAAGATGATATCAACATTCTAGTTGAGAACAGGAATCATAGGTTGAGAAAGCATAAGAAACAGTCTCATTGTTGTATATGACTGCTTTGTGTCTTACAGTGGATGGGAAAGTTGATCTAAAAAATGTGACACTGAGAATGAAAGACTTTACTGGTGAGTTTCTATGACACTGAGATCATAATGCTTTATAATAAATCATATTTTAGATGCTCTTGTCTAGTAGTCTATTGTTCATATTAATTTTGACATTTACCCAGTTATCATTAAAGATTTCTACCTGAAAACATCCACTTGATCTCTGGTTATCTATGTATTAAAACGAAACCACAGACTTTCTTCTCCTAACAAGTTTTACCTATGGTGGAGTTACTATATAGGTCTGTCTTTGCCTGCATGTAAATAGTTAAATTTTAGGTAAGCATGTGAAAAAATAAGGCAAAGCTTTGGAAAGTGCAAGATAATATGTTTGTGTGTGTGTGTGTGTGTGTGTGTAAACAGTTACATAAGTCAGTATAATATCTCCTCTCATAATTATTTCTTTTGGCAATTCATTATCCAATCTGATAACTAGATTTCATTCTACATATTATTCCCAACTTGAAGAGAGCCCTCACTATCTCAGTATTATAAGAGCAAATTTACTTTGACTTCTATTGACATGCTGAATTTCTATATCCCATTTTGCCTTTGCTTTTTAATCACAGATTGGAAATGATGCCATATAAGTTATTATAAATGTATCTTTAAAAATACATACAACATAGGCTAATATTATGTTCTAGTGAACCTCTTTAAAGAATTAAATAATTACTTTCTAAAGTTTTCACCTATAAACACTCTGTCTCTTCAAAGGACAAAAGATTAATGCCAGTGATCTGAAAAATGTTCTTGGAGACATGGGGATAGAAGTCAATGATAAGGAATGTCTGGAACTGCTAAAATCACTGCCAGTTGATGGTGAGCTGCATTTGGGTTACTGTGACATCCAAAGCATTGAGTTTTATGGTTCTAGTTATGATGTTTATACTTTGAAGTGTCACATGTTCATATTTACCTGCCCCCACCCCACAGCTCTTGCTTTCTTATGAACAGTGTCTCTATTTCTGTATGCCAACTCAAGGACAGAGATCAACTGTCAAAAGAATCCTCTTCCAAAAAATCAGTGTTGAGGAGGTAAGATGTTAGTGATGATTTTTGCAAAAGGGGAGGAAGGAGTGGAATTTACATTTTGTCTCTCTCAGTAAGCATCCCGAAGTACTCAGAAGAAAGTTTCTTTCTTCCTTTAAGTACAAAAGCTCAACATCGTCCCCATATCTTCTCAACAAAGCATCCTCTCAGCAAAGTTCTATGTATCCCTGTAAGTAAATCTTGTACCATCTGCCAAGAAATTAGTGTTTTCTGTATTATTATATCAGTTCAGAAGTTAACAACACCTTCAAGCATGAGCTTTGTAGCAGCCAGTACCAGCAGATGCATCATGAAAAAGAGCCTGAAGAAACCTGAACAGGCTGCAGGTGACAGTCTTCCACCACAAAGCAACATCTCTGCAGAGAGTGCAGAATAATTTGAGTACAAACATGAGTCTGAGGTTGCAAAGCCTCCATGTTATTATATTACCTGGCTACATCACTACCCAGTTATGATGAAGGTCAGAGAATCAAGAATGAAGCTACTATCCCTTCAGTTTCTGGAAGAGATGACTTCGATAATGCTGACCAACTTGGTTTAGGCAACAACAGGATTTTCATGTTAACTTTTTTATGCCATTCTTCTTTAAAACTAGATTGAGTATTTCCTGTCTGCTTTCCTGACCACTTCAACTGCAGGGAAGTATGAGGCCATTTCAGGATTTGGCCTCTCTCTAATCAAGCAGATCCTTGTTGTCAGGTTTTCCACCTATTTCCCTGGATATTTTGATGGTCAGAATTGTCTCTGGTGGGTGTTTCTGGTTTTAGGTTTTCTCCTGTTTCTCAGAGGATTTGTTAGTTATGCAAAAGTTTGGAAGATATAAAAACTCAAATTTCTGCAGGACAGAGTTCTTTTTATTTACTGAAGACATTTTCTGGCAAAGGCCTTCCTGCGTTTATGATTCCTCTCTCAAGAAACAAGAGAACATCTGCAGGAAGTGAATCGAGATGCAGAACACAGAGGAATAACCACCTGCTTTTAGAGAAGAAAGTGCTATTGAAAAAGAGAAAATAGGGTGAAGCAAATTACTGCTGTTACTCATTAGGCCACTTACATGTCAAACTTGAGCTTCAGGAAGTAAAGAAAACAGAATGGAAATGTGATAGAAACAAGGAATGAAAAGAATTTAAAATAGAATAGGAAAAGATGGTGAGTTTTAGCTCTGTAGCATATAAACCAGTAGTTGCCATGGATGTGAAAGAGTAAGTAGATCTATTAATAATAACAGAATTTATTATGATGAGCCAAGTTCTGTCCTCACCACACACAACGATGACACCGTATCCCTATTTTACAGTGGAGGAAACTGAGGCATAGAAAGGGTAAGTAATTTGCCTAAGGCCACAAAGTTAGTCAGAAGCAGAGCAAGAATTTGAACCCAGACTCTTGACCTTTACACCAGACTACCACTCTATACCATAATGCCAACTTTTTTCATTGCTTAACTTCATCATAATTTGAAAGTAGAAATGGATAGATTTATAAAGTCAGTCACAACGAGGAAATTCTGATCCTTAAGTTCTATCTGTGAGTCATTCTCTGTCCTGAACTATGCCTTTTCTTACAGGTGATAAGAAAGTTTTTCAGAATAGACTGCTAGCAGCTTTGAAGTCTTTTAAAGGTGGGTGATAAATGTAATGAGAAAGTAAACAAGACTGAGATTCTCAATCTTTGTATTTACTTTTTCCTAGTTATTAGATCATGATTCCTCTGCCACCTCTTTTAAATATTGATGCTATAGTTTTGTTTTGTTTTGTTTTTTGAGTGTATGCTGTGTAGACATGATCCCAAGGTCATATTCAAAGGCACCAGTCTTAAGTATCTCCACAGTTCTCTTTTTGTGTACTCTTGAGTAGGTCAAGTTAGAGTTTTAGCTTTCATAGAGCTGAAAATAACCATCACAATGCACAGCTATGAACTGTTAGTTTTCCTTTCTTTTTTCAATATAAAAAGTGTCACATTCCCAGTAAATATAAAAATTAAAGAAAAAATCATCACTCATATTGCTACTGCTGAATCATTACCACTCTTTATATTTTAAAGCCCTTGATGTTAAAATAGCAAAAATCTCATATAGTCAAAATTGCTTTGAAATCTCATTAGAAGGCTCCATAAAGACACCAACATTCTAGTCTTGATAAGTTCAGTATAGTCACTTTTTCTTCCAATGATATGGAATAGATTATTATTCCTACGGTTAAGCAATTAGCTGAAGTGGCTGGCTTGCCTAAGAGCCATAATATACAAAAGTATATCTCAAACTAGACTCTCATTGAGTTAAGATGCTCCCAGTATGATAGGCTTAGGGGAATTTAGTCCATCTGATAGAACAGTAAATTGATGTTCATCCGGAGTTTTCTCTCCGTAAGTGCTTGCTACCCCTGGAGTGTCAGGGAGAATCACATGAATTATTTCATTGTTCATTTATACTGGGCATGTGATTTTAATTCATATAAGTTAAATGATTGTTTGATATAATACACCCTATTAAAAAAGCATTTTTTTCCTGTGGTACCCATTTTTTGTAATACCTATAGCTATGTAATTTTCTGTGTAATGAAAATACAATGGTTTACTTCACAATATCTCTTATCATTAGATATTTAAATTCAGTGTACTTTTTTCTTTTTCCACTTATTATAAGTGAGATTATAATAAACATTTACCTCTCCCCTTTGACATGAGCTTTTTCTGTATTTCTAAAAGTGAAATTAGTGGGATAAGAGTTACGGACATTTTAAAGATTTGTGATGGTTTTTGCCAAACCACTTTCCAATAAGGTAATTCCGTTTAACACTCTTACCAGCAGCCAGACCTATTGAGAGCTGAGAGCTTGTTTAACTCCTCAGGACAAGAAGTGTTTTTCTTATTGTATCTTTATTGAGTTTTTCTCACATTTATGTCTCTTTCCTAAGGTGGAAAAGTTGATGTCAATAATCTGAATCCAGTTCTGAGGAGCATGGGGATCAAGCTCAGAAATAAGGAACTTAAAAGTGTAGTGGAAAAGCAACCTATTGATGGTAAGCATTGAATTTCTAAAACTAGACTAATTTGTTTCCCTTGTAGCTCAGTTGGTAAAGAATCTGCCTGCAGTGCAGGAGACCTGGGCTCTATCCCTGGGTTGGGAAGATCCCCTGGAGAAGGAAATGGTAACCCATTCCAGTATCCTTGCCTGGAAAATCTCATGGACAGAGGAGCCTCATGGGCTGCAGTCCACGGGGTCGCAAAGAGTCTGGCACAACTGAGTGACTAACGCACACAACACACAAAGACATTTTTAAGAATCATGAAGAATTGGTCTTAAACTAAGAAGAAATCCTGTCTTTTGTCATTTTTATTCATCTGAAATTGTCATCCTGCTCAACTGTCAGTAGTTTTGAGGGGATATTCACAATGGTTTTATCAGCTCAGAGAATAGCTGGGAGAAACAAACTTGGGAGTAGGGATCAATGAATGAATGAATAACAGAGAGAGCCAGAAATGACTGAGAGAAAGATATCCATAATGGGGAATAATGGAACATCTTTAATATTTCTTCAAGTATAAAACAACCACATGTCATCACCATTTAGGGATAGATAAATAAGTTGAAAACATTAAAGGAAAGCTGATTGAGAATAGATGGAAGATTCAAAGCCCCTAGCTCAGAATCAGTGCCAGATGTAAGGTTCACCAAAAAAACAAACAAATAAAAACCCTGACTCTTTATAAATAACATTTTTACCACGCTTGTAAGAAAGCATCTGAAGACCTAAGAACTGGATAATATATTTGTCGTGGTCAGACACTGTGTTTGAAGGACATGGGACAAACATTGTTGTTCTTCTTACTAATAGTGAATCAAGCATTCAAATCAGGAAATATAAATTTAAGGTGAACACAAATAATCTAGTAGAATATATAGACTTTCACTGGGGTCTAGGTCACAATTTTTCTAAGTTCTGTGTCATTGTCTGAATTTTTATGCCTTGTATTACAGCTGATGGAAATGTTCCTCTGAAAAAAGTGATGAGTGATATCAAGGCAGTTACAGGCAAGTTAAAAGTTATAAGATTAAAATCCTAACTCCCCTATTCTATCACCCTGCCTTTCCACTTTTTGAGATCAGTATATCCTAAATTTTATGTTGCTTATTCTTCTTTTGAAAAATCATAGCTTTATTATCTAGGTGATAATGCAACAGACATAGTGTTTTCATTTTGCTTCATTCCACACTATAAAAATGCTCTCATAAATGTGCAGTATTCCCTAATCCTAACCCTAATAACATTCTAACCATAAAACAATTCTATATTTCATTTTGTATTTAAAGATAATTATGTATTTATGATTTTGTAGTTTATTGTTGTAGTTTATTTCTTTTCATTGTTATATAAATGTTCTACTTGCAAATATGCCATAATTTATTTATCCAGTCTCCTGTATATGAATATTTATATTATTAGGCAGGAAAATGAAATTAATTGGAAAGGAAGAAGTAAAATTGTCTCTCTTTGCTGATGAGGTGATCTTATTAATAGATTTGTATATAAGATATATATATATATAAAACCACAAAGACTCCACCAAAAACTGTCAGAACCAATAAATTCAGTAAAGTCACAGGATATAAAATCAACATATAAAAATCAGTTGCATTTGGAGTTTGATATCACCAAGATGATAAAGTGATAAGGTGACCACACTCTCCATCCCACCATAAAGATCAACAGTTAATTAGATATCCACCAACAGAGCAGTTCTAGGAGAGCTCAGGAGTCCACTTAAGAAACTAAAGCAACCCAGTGGAGTTTAAACCTGAGAATAACTATGTTAAAGGGGTAAGAACAACTTGATTTTGCCTCTATCAGCACATCCCCTTGGTGGCACTGTCAGCACATAGAGGGAACTCCCCAGATAGAAAGAGTTCTAGCAGGAAGAGAAGAATGGGGTAAATGACTAGCTTCTCCATCCTTTCAGGGAACTTCACAAAGGACCTGCTTTGAGGACTTCCCCTGGCAGTTCAGTGGTTATGACTTCAGGCTTCCACTGCATGTTTGATCCCTTGTCAGGAACTAAGATCCCACATGCCACATTGCAAAAGCAAATGAACAAAAATCATAGGACTTGCTTTGTTTTTGTTCTACCCAGAGTCCCAGAGAGGTACAAAGCTGAGACATACAGAGGCAGCTAGGAATAAAGAAGAAGAGTAGGGCTTACCACTAACAGCAACACAACAGGATCAGCTTCAGTCCAGTGCAGAGGACTCCTACTTCCAAACACAGTCACATTACAAGGTACTGAGAATTAGAACATCAACATATAAATACTAAACGGACACAATTTGGTTCATAAAATGAAATATTATTTAGCTTCAAAAAGACATGAGGACTTCTGTGGTGGTCCAGTGGTTAAGAATCTGCCTGCCAATGCAGGGGATGCGCATTCGATCCCTGGTCCAGGAAGACGCCACATACTGCCGAGTGACTAAGCCTGTGCACCACAATATTGAGCCCACATGCCTGGAGCCCATGCTTTGCAACAGAAGAGGCCACCTCAATGGGAAGCCCATGCACCACAGCTAAAGAGTAACCAATGTTCACGGCAACTAGAGAAAGCCCGCACACAGCAATGAAGACCTAGAGCAGCCAAAAAAATATATTTTTTAACTTAAAAAGATGAACACATCTGTTGTATCAATCTCTTCTTAAAAAGAAAAAGAAATTAAGTACTGATATATTTTACAATGTGGATTAACCTCAAAAACATTGTGCTGAGGAGTATAATCCAGACATAAAGGGTCACGTATTATATGATTCCATTAATAGGAAGAGGTAATAGATCCATAGGGTCAGAAAGTAGGTTCATGATTGTTAGGAACTGAAAGGAGGGTACAGTGGGTGATAATTATTTATTGAACATGGGGTTTCCTTTCCAGGCAATAAAAATACCTGAAACTAGAGAGAGTTGATTCACAACATTGTGAATGTACTAAGTACCACTGAATTGCACACTTTAAAATAGTTAATTTTACGTTATGAGAATTTCATCTCAATTAAAAAAAATCAACCAGCCACAAAAGTGGTATACAAAGATAGAAAGATGCACTGGAAACAATCTAGTCTGGTAGGATAAAGTACTTATAATGACATTATTTGAAATGTGAGCCTGAAGTGATAGTAAAAGGTAGATTTACTTTTAATTGGTGTTATTATTATTTCTAAGTTCTCTACAAATAATATACCCACTATGACCTGTTCCCAGTGTGGACCTCTCCTACAGCCCCTATCCTCCCAATATGTCAGTGAAAAATAATATGTGTATGATTTTATTTATAAGATTTAAAAAGAAGCAGAGCTAAATAACAGTGATTAAGCATGCCAATTAGATGATAAATGTATAAAGAAAAGGAAGAAATCATTGTCCAACTCTGTAATGACCTATATGGGAGAATAATTTTAAAAAGAGTGAATATATGTAAAACTGATTCACTTTGCCATGCAACAGAAAGTAATAAAACACTGCAAATCAACTATACTCCAATAGAAAGTTTTAAAGTAAGTAAATAGCTCCAAAAATTTTTTTGTATTATAGTTAGTATAGCATAATGCAGTCATTCCCATTAATTTCAAAGACATTGGAATATCTAGAAAAAATACTAAATCATATTTAGTAGCCTCCACTTAAGAAAGTATGGGACTGTGCTACATAATAGTACTTACAATCGATCTACTTCAAACCAAGTGTGAGGAAAACAATTAAAGGGGAATAGTTTTAACTCAGTTCTGGAACGTTCATGTTTCCTTCCAAATTAATTTGTAAGTTTAGGTATAGAAATATAATATTATAACTGAAACCCAAACCATCATTTTATTTTTACACAAAAGTTCCTTTGAGTTCATTTTCAGAGACCATCCTAAAAATTTCTCATATACTATACAATTAAAGAAAATGTTTCTCTAAATAGAAATGCCTTCAAATAGTTCATTATTCATGTAAATAAAGTTATCAGTGCTTTGATGTTAAACAAAAAAAAATGAAATCATTGTCCAAAAACTAAGGACATAATTACCTCTTAAGGAATACTGTGAATAGGGTTTGAGAAAGATAGACTTCCAGAGTGCTATCAATGTTTTTCTATTTCTTTACCTAGATGGTAGTTACAAGGGTGTTGTTAACAAGTGTTTGTGTCTAATTGTCCAAAGTCAGTCTGTATTATCAGTATTAATTTTTTTCATTTAGTTCGGTTCAGTTCAGTTGCTCAGTCATGTCCGACTCTTTGCGACCCCGTGAACCTCAGCACACCAGGCCTCACTGTCCATCACCAGCTCCTGGAGTCCACCCAAACCCATGTCCATCAAGTCGGTGATGCCATCCAACCATCTCATCCTCTGTCATCCCCTTCTCCTCCTGCCCTCAATCTTTCCTAGCATCAGGGTCTTTTCAAATGCTCTTTTCAAGAGTCTTCTCCAACACCACATTTCAAAAGCATCAATTCTTCGGCGCTCAGCTTTCTTTATAGTCCAACTCTCACATCCATACATGACTACTGGAAAAACCATAGTCTTGACTAGATGGACCTTTGTTGGCAAAGTAATGTCTCTGCTTTTTTTTTCATTAGTAGCAATTCCTATATCTTCTAAAACATTTTCTAATAATAATATACCTAGATCTTCACCACTGGAAAGTAAAAAATCAATATCAGGAATAAACAAACTACTGCTCATAGACCAAATCTAGCCCTCTGTTTATAAAGAAAGTTTTACTAGAACACAGTCACAGTCTTTTACCTATTATCATGGGCCATTTTAGTGCTACAACAGCAGAATTGAGTAGCTTATATAGTCTCTGTTGCAGCTACTCAATTCTGCTGTAGCTTTAAAATAGCCCTTGTGTGAAATGATAAAAATTAGGATAATGGTCAAACACTTTAGCAATTTTGGGGAAAGCAGAGCAAAATTAGGTTAACTTTCCATTCTAGTTTATAAAGCAACTATCTAAATCCTCAGTTTACTAAGAACTGTGGTTTCTTATTCTCAGTGTTATGAAAGCAGGTCTTTCCTTAGGGCTATAAGTTCTAATTCTCTGCCCACTCTTGACTCCACTAGGCAGATTTTATTGTGCCTTTATCTTTTACCTAGCAACTGGGGATAGTGATGTATAAACATGAACAATTTTGTTTCATATCTTTAAGTAGTTATATAATTATTAATATTGTCTACTATACTCACCATTTCTGTTTTTGAAGGAGAAAAAATTAATGTAGAAGATCTGAAAAATATTCTGGAAGGTCTCGGGATAGAATTCACACCTAAAGAATACTCGGAGCTGGTGAAAAATCTGCCAGTTGATGGTAAGCATTTCAAACAAGATTAGAACTTTTGAGAAAGGTTAGTCTTAGGTGTTTAAAACAACTTAAAAAATAAACTGTACCTACTAGATATCCTAATTTAAAAACCACAGCAAAAAGAATGTAAGAAATTTTAGCGTGACTTTGTGCTCCCTTTGGAAAGTGTAATTCTTTCTTTGGGAAACTCTAAATACCGACTCTATTTTCTTGAATCCTGCCATTGGATACAAAAATTCCTTTTATTATATTTGGTTCCACCCTCAGAGCTAAAAGTTAAAGTGAGAGATGTAAGGAAGAATGTGAGGATGGGAGAAATAGAAGAGTAGGAGAATGAAGAAAAAAGTCAAAGAAAAGTGAAGGGAAGACATGTTCATGTTCCAGTTAAGGTGTTTGCTGCTAATAGTTGCTTCTACAGTCAGACACAGCACTCAGAGTTTTCTTCTGTCCATAGTTTTAAAATCACTGGAGGGCAAAAATCAAAGTTATTTCTAAGACAAATCATTTTAAAGCATTTCTGTGAAATTATACCTTTGTATTGTCTCTCTTCAATTTCTGTATCCCTTTATCTGTGATGTCAATTGTGCCTTTTCTTACAGATGATGGGAATATATATGAAAATAGATTGCTAGATGGTGTGAAATCTTTCAATGGTAAGAAGCATGATGAAAAGAAAGATAAATAAGATTCTTCTGCCTTACATTTGCATTAATATTATTGTGTAATTATTCTCTTGTGGATCTAACCACCTCTCACGTGAACTGATTATTTTTTGTTTTGAGTGTAGGTGCTTTTTTCAAATAGTCTTTCCTGCTTAGTAAACTTTGGCTTTTGTTAAATTTATTTGCAAAGCAAATCTAAAGTTGGGTCTATATAGAAAATGTGAAGTAAAGAACTGGCAGTAGTTTTGGGCATTCCATCATTGTAACTCACTGGAGAATGAATTTGTACTTTGTTAAGATTGTCCTCAAGACCATGCAGAAATTACAATTCTAATTCTATTTTGTTCACATTGTGCACTTGAACATTTTTGGATCAGTGATATTTTTGCTGATAGTCCTGGTTGTATGGAAATTGAAATTTCTCTATCGGAGAAGTCATTAAATTTCCCTTGTGTTCCCAACTGTTTCCTTAGGTGGGAAGGTTGATGTCAGTAATCTGGAAAATGTTTTGGGAAACATGAAAATCAATTTCCCAAATAACAAGCTCAAAGATTTGTCACAAAACCTACCAGTTGATGGTAAGCATCACAGATGATATTAGACCTTTTAAAGACATTTAGACTTACAAGCTTATGTTTGAAAATTTCTGGCACTAGATCTGTTTTGGTGATAATATCACTTTTTAAATCTTCGAAAAGAGCCCAATCCCAACATAAGAGACTATTTTGACTTAGTGTGTTTTCAGCATGCAAGATGGTACATGCACTACAGTGAGTTATAGGAGTCAAATCCTTTACTTGAAAGAAGCTGAAGAAGAGCTTATTACCCACAGAGAAGAGGTTGCTAATTTCAGATTAAGTATGTGATTTAAATTTACTTTAAAAATCATGTCACCCAGCTATACATTCCTATTGGAGGGGGTAATTGAGAGAACGTGACTCAAGGCAAACTGGACTCCAGGCAATTGGAGGATCCTCATCGCCTCCCTTGTGCTTAGAACATGCACCATGTCCACTGTTCCCCCAGTGAGAGTTGTGTTCAAGGAAAGAGCCTTGAGAGAGCGATGTGTTGTTGAATCCCATCTGGACAGTATGCATGACTAAACCCAGTTAAAGTCTCTATATAAACTTTTAAGATTCTGGTGGGCAGTGCAGAAATCTACTTGTCTTGTGGTCACCATGGCAAGCCTCATATGTAAGTTTCCTTGCTTAGAAACCTTTCAGCCACCCATCTGGAGTGGTCTGCTCTTGCTTTGGTCTTCTGCTGCCCTCAGTGTACAGGTGTCTGGTTTCAGATTTTGCCTGGGAAGCTCCTTAGGTTTCAAACCAACAGTTCCTTTATACACTTGCAAATTACCAACTTCCTTATCCCTTCCCCTGTGTTTTGGCACGTGCTCACGTTATTCATTCCTGACCTTATCTCTGTCTACATTAAGAATCTTAAACAGCAATATTTTACCTTCCTTTATTTTATCTATTTGTTTGTCTCTGTGCTGGGTCTTTGTTGCTGATGGCAGCCTTTCTGTAGTTGCTGTGAGCAGGAGCGTCTTTGTTACGGTGCGAGGGCTTCTCATTGCTGTGGCTACTCTTTGAGCACCACAGGCTCTCTAGGGCACCATCTCAGTAGTTGTGGCTTGTGGGCTCAGTTCCCCATGGCATGTGGGATCTTCCCAGACCAGGGATCAAACTCATACCCCCTGCATTGGGAGTGGATTCTTTATCACTGGACCACCAGGGAAGTACTCTTTTTATTTATTTATTTTTTTTAATGGAGGATAATTCTTCACAACGTTCTGTTGGTTTCTGCTGTACAACAGCATGAATCACGCATGTTGTGCTTAGTAGCTTAATCGTGTCTGACTCTTCGTGACCCCATGGGCTGCAGCCCACCAAGCTCCTCTGTCCCTGGGATTCTCCAGGCAAGAATACTGGAGTGGGTTGCCATGCCTTCCTCCAGGGGATCTTCCCAACCCAGGGATCGAACCCAGATCTCCCACATTGTAGGTGGATTCTTTACCATCTGAGCCACCAGGGAAGCCCAAGAATTTTGCAGTGGGTAGCCTGTCGCTTCTCCAGGGGATCTTCCCAACCCAGGAATCAAACCAGAGTCTCCTGCATTGCAGGCAGATTCTTTACCAGCTGAGCTACCAGGGAAGCCCCGATCAAGCAGAAGTGTACATATATCTTCTCCCTCTTGAGCCTTCCTCCCTCCCACTTCAGTTTATTAACATTCATATAATGCCCCATTTTAATCCTCTTACCTAACATTTACTGTGCCTACCTTCCCAGAGTCCAGAACTTCTCTGTGTCCATGTCTGTAGAGAATATATTTCTGGTTTTTAGGGAATGGGCAGGGGGGCAAGAGGAGAAGTGATGGTGGAGTGGAATTTGTACAAAATGGGAATAAAGGAAGGGGTAATAACTAGCAGAGGAGGGGAAGGTTGTTAACTTGCCTGTGTGTACTGACTTGCCAGCAGTCCTCTTGATGTTCATTCCTACACCTTACCCGATACTCTGTATCTTGAAACTTTTTAGGATTCTTCTTTGTGAATTATGCCGCTTTTCATTAGTGTCCCCTCATAGGCTTCTAGGTTCTAGTTTCCTCAGCTCTGCTGAATTAGTTACCACTCTCCTACTTGCTTTCTAATTTTCAAATGTGTGTGAAGTCTCTTGTTCATGAGGATTTTGTCTCCTATGTTGTTGTCTTTTGAGTACATTTATTATTACTTTCCTATCATTTTAGTGAGGTTCTCAGGGAGAGGAGGAAATAAATACTTGTGGGTGGTAAAAGCATTTTGAAAAGCTACCCTAGTTAATTTAATTGATCGAATTTAAATAACTGAATGCAGGCTGAGATTCCCATTTAAAAATTGAACAGTGTAAAGCTTTTTAATCCTCAGGCTAGAGGCACCCTCATTATGTTCATAAAGAGCAAAGATAAGCATTTGTAAACCCAGATAGTATTCTACTTTCTTCAATGAATCACATTATCTTTCTATACATAATTAGCTGTTAAACCTTTGGTGTTGAATCTGTGAAACCAGAACAGATTTTCCTTACTCTCTCTGATAGGAAAGCTAAAAGAAAGATCAAAAGCTTTTTCTCACCTAGACTTAGTGAAATCAGTGATAAATGAAGGCTCTGTGAGCACAGGAACCATGTCTGTGCTGCTCACTGTTGTGTGTGTGTACTCAGTCGTGTCTGATTCTTTGCAATCCATGGGCTGTTGTGTCCCTCAGTAACTAGCACAATGAGTGCTAGCACAATGAGATCTTTGACACCTGTAAATACTTGTTGAGTGAATGAGAAATAGAATTAACTAGATAATATGTTAATTTAGCAACTACTCAAGACTCTCAGCAAGAATTTTCAGTTGTGTTAATCAATAGATGTTAGCTGATTGTTATCACCAACATGGAAATTTAATGTAAAATTACATTGTGCTATATGTAGCAGGAGACCCCAAAGCATAAATCTGATAACTAAATATATGGGGAGAATGTACTGGAAACTACCCCAAGGGAAGAATAAGATTCCATAATAATGAATAGTATACTGTTTTTTTGGTAAGAAAATACCAATAATGTGCATAGTTTCTAGATTTTTTTTTCTTGGCCTAAAATGTACTACATCTGCAATTCTGGGAAATTATGCTGATTGAAGAGATAATTCTCATTATGTTCCATTCTACTGTTTAATTTTAAAGTGTTTAATATTACTATGGGCAACCCTAATTTGTCTGGATGGGATACAGAATAAATAGGCATATTTTTTAATTTAAAAACTCTCATAATCTTTGATTATGTAATGAACATTACTACTAGAAAAAAATACAGTAGATTAAGCTAACTTGGGGATGATAGTATGGAATAGTGTTAAGTGGGGAAATAGGTAGACTTAAAGTTCCAAACTGAAAGTTTTTACTCTTGTTGCTGGAATCTGATATAGTAGATTGTGTAAAGTCACAAGAACAAACCTGAGGAGTGAAATTTTCATATGCATGCACGCAGAGACTGAGATACTAAGAGGGAAAAGAGAATAAATAATGAAATTAATGCTTAAATATTTTAATAATCTTTTTGAATCAGTCTACAATTGTGTCTGTCTAAATTGTGTCTTATTTTTTAGTGTTTGGCAAGACTGATCTGCATAAACTGCTAAAAGAAATAAAGAAAATAACAGGTGAGCAATACATTTTGTGACAAGATATAAAACTAAAATGCAAATACTCCATGTTTACATACAGATGTAAAGCTGTTTTCTTATTTTGCCATTGATTTTTAACTTCTGTTTTTGTAACAAAGTTGACTCTAATGACACGAAGATTATATTGGATTATTTATGTTTTGGCAAAACATATCACTATTTCTCTATAACAAGTTCTGTATTCTCTGAAACTTTTATATTTTGTGATTTATTTCAATGGCCAAATCACCTATTCATTCATTCAAAATACTTATCTCACATCTACTGTAACCCAGTAAATGTTAAAGTAGAATTTTGATGGAAATACAAATAATGTGGTCAATGAAAATAATTCATCTTATAATTCAGACAAAGTGAGAGAAACACAAATTCTAACTGATGGTTAATACAATCTAGATTAAGTAGCTGCCTGTACATAACTTAGATCACTTTGCCTCCAATATATCCCTTTGCCATGAGCTGGGTTAACTTCTTTGAGGTCCTTAAGAGCATTAGATATAAGTATTTTGTTTAGAACCAAAGAAATAACTTCCAAAAACTGTAGAAAACCCTGTACAAGCTTTAGACACTTCATTGTTTGGAGTCAGTAAGCAATTCTCACCTGTAACCATTCTCATCTTTTAAAGGAGAAAAACTTGAAGCCAAGGACATACACAAAACACTAAAAAACCTGGGGATAGAGCTCACAAATAGGGAAATCTGGGAGCTGTTGAAAATGTTGCCATTTGCTGGTAGGTATTTGATGTATGTATCTGTATATGTATCTATGTGCTTGTATAAACTTCATTGTGAGAACATCATAAAAATGGGCCCTTCTGGTTTTGTATAAAAATCCAAAACACAAAAATACCAATCTTTAGCTGTAAAGAAATTAGGCCTTTAACATTTAGGCTTATCATTTTGAAAAGCTATATCATCAAACCTGAGTCCTGCCATTAAGTGAGATAAATCAGAAAAAGAAAGACAAATACCATATGACATCACTAATATGTGGAATCTAAAATATTAACACAAATGAATGTATCTACAAAATAGACTCACAGATATAGAGAGCAGCCTGTGGTTGCCAAGGGTGAGGTGGCAAAGGGGAAAGGATGGATTGGGAGTTTGGGGTTAGCAGAGGCAAACTATTACATACAGAATGGATAAGCAACAAGGTCCTACAGTACAGCACAGGGAAATATATTCAATATCCTGTAATAAGTGATAATGGAGAAGAATATGAAAAAGAATATATATATGTACAATTGAATCGCTTTGCTCTACAGTGGAAATTAGCACAACATTTTAAATCAACTATACTTCAATAAAATAAAATTTTTAAAAAATATTACTCAGAAATGAATGATGCATTAGTAGGGCAATATGAAAGAAAAGTCTAAATTAGAAAGAAGGTGGTGCTTATGGTAAAGAACCCATCTGCCAATGCAGGAGACTCAGGAGGCATGGGTTGGATTCCTTGGTCAGAAAGATCCTCTGGAAGAGGGCATAGCAACCCACTCCAGTATTCTTGCCTGGAGAATCCCATGGACAGAGGAGCCTAACAGGCTACAGTCCATAGGGTTGCAAAGAGTCAGACATGACTGAAGTGACTTAGCGTGCACAGAAAAAGAAAAAGGAGAACTCAGAGTGGGGAAAGAGGTGACATCTGTTTCAGTGGAGAATGTGGATGTAGAAAATGTAGGAATATAACTTAAGACACATTTTTAAAGTACGTAATTAAGAAATTATGTTCTTATTACCTTTTTTTTGCTGTCCATGTGTCTTATTTTACAGATGATAAAAAGGTAGAGAAAAATGATTTGCTCAGTCACATCAAGACTTTTCCTGGTAAGTGAGAATCACAATAAGAAGGAAAGTAAAACTAAGACTTGCAGATTTTACCTTAATTTTCAAAAGGCTTATCATTCCACAGTAATTAGATCATTGATCTTATTATCCATTAACCTATAGGTCTCCTTTAGATGCAATTACATAAATGTGATAATTTATAGTTCTCTGATACAACAAGTTTCATATATACATATGCAACTTATAATACATAAAAATAGCATTTGGGGATTAATATATAAATAAAATTGTATATAATTTACATAATGTACAATTAAGTTCCTTCTAAATACACCTTTCTTGAAAACTATAGAAAGGGCCCCTGAAATGAACCACAAATATATTCTTGACTTCCACAGTAAGTCTTTATTGTGGAAAGTGTTGAAGACAGTCTACATGTAACCCTAAACAGTTTCTTTTTTTTAGTCATTATGCAAAGGATTATTTCATCTAGTTGTGATTGGTGCATGAATATAACCAGCATTTTTTTAAAATACCAGTTCCTATTTTTTATCACTTCATTCTTTCCTAAGGTGGGAAGTGTCATGTCTCTAAACTGGAAACCATCCTAGAAAACTTGGGTTATAACTTGGAGAATGAGGAAGTTGAGGACCTGAGGAAACACCTGCCAGATGATGGTGAGCATGTAGTCATGGCTTTAGGGAAACTGAGCTCCTCTAATAAATCTTCCAAATGTGTTCATCTGGGAAAATTTATTATCTCATATAATTAATGTTTAAATCAAAGATCAGTAATCTGTTAAGCAGTGATTCCCACCTGAAGGGCTAAATTTTGATGGCAGTGAGAAAATTGACAGACCTAAGAAGCAAGTAGAGAAATGAAACAGAGGAGCACTTTAAAGAAAAAAAGCCAAAGAAGAAATTTAAAAACCAGTCAGAAAAAAAAAGTAAGAATCTCTTAAATCACCATAAAGTTGCAAGAGAATTCCAGAAAATCATCTACTTCTGCTTCACTGGGGCTTCCCTGGTGGCTCAGGCAGCAAAGAATCCGCCTGCAATGTGGGAGACCTAGGTTGGAGACCTAGGTTTGATCCCTGGGTTGGAAATATCCTCTGGAGAACAAAACAGCAACCCATTCCAGTATTCTTGTCTGGAAAATCTCATGGGCAGAGGAGTCTGGCAGGCTCCAGTTCATGGGGTAGCAAAGAGTCAGACACGACTGAGTGACTGATACTTTCACTTTTCACTTTCTATTTCATTTACTACACTAAAGCCTATGACTGTGTAGATCACAACAAACTGGAAAATTCAAAGAGATAGGAATACTAGACCACCTCACCTGCCTCCTGAGAAACCTGCAGATCAAGAAGCAACAGTTAGAACCAGATATGGAATGACAGACGGGTTCAAAATTGGGAAAGTGATATGTGAAAGCTGTATACTGTTGCCCTGCTTATTTAACTTATATGCAAAGTACATCATGAGAAATGCCAGGCTGGAGGAAGCACAAGCTGGAATCAAGATTTCCAGGAGAAATATCAATAACCTCAGATCTGTAGATGACACCACCCCCATGGCAGAAAGCAAAGAGGAACAAAAGAACCTCATGGTAAGTGAAAGAGGAGAATGAAAAAGCTGGCTAAAAATCAGCATTGAGAAAACTAAGATCATGGTATCTGGTCCCATCACTTCATGGCAAATAGATGGGGAGAAAAATGGAAACAGTGATAGACTTTATTATGTTTATTTTGGCTCCAAAATCACTGCAGATGGTGGCAAAAGCCATGAAATTAAAAGACTCTTGCTCCTTGGAAGAAAAGCTATGATAAACCTAGAGAGCATATTAAAAAGCAGAGAGACTTTGCCAACAAAGGTCCGTAGAGTCAAAGCTATGGTTTTCCCAGTAGTCATGTACAGACGTGCGAGTTGGACCATGATGAAAACTAAGCGCTGAAGAATTGATGCTTTTGAACTGTGATGTTGGAGAAGACTCTGAGAGTCCCTTGGACTGCAAGGAGATCAAACCAGCCAATGCTAAAGGAAATCAGTCCTGAATATTCATTGGAAGGACTGATGCTAAAGCTGAAGCTCCAGTACTTTGACCACTTGATGCAAAGAGCTGACTCATTGAAAAAGACCCTTATGCTAGGAAAGATTGAAGGCAGGAGAAGGGACAACAGAGGATGAGATGGTTGGATGGCATCACCGACTCAATGAATATAAGTTTGAACAAACTCCGGGAGATGGTGAAGGACAGCGAAGCCTGGCGTGCAGTCCATGGAATCACAAAGAGTCGAACACGACTGAACGACTGAACAACTACAAAAGTACACAAATTAGATGAAGGAGTCAGCGAAGATTTTTGGTGGGTATGGAGTTGGAAACATGAAGAAAGTGCTGTGTAAGGGTTGCATATGGAAGTAGCCAGCTACAATATTTTAGGCAGGTGAACACATTGATATTACAGTTTCTATTGTGTATGAATCCTGTAATATTAATAGTAAGGTGGTCAACCATCATAGTACTCCTAGATTCTAAAGTAGAACAGGCCAAGTGGAAAGTAAGTCAGTCAATGTTTTTAAAACTTCCTATCACCATTGTGTATAGAATTCAACATTTTATACCATAATTTTGTGTTAACTTAATTCTTCAATTCCATGCCCAGCTGGGGTTTATTGATAGAATAACTCAGGGCAAACTTCTGAATTTCAGTGTTTTGTTCCACAATATAAGGTCTTAGTAACATTTTCTGGGTCTAATGAAAAATCTGTGTCTTACTTGTACTTTATCCTACAGATGAAAAGTTTAAACCAAATACTCTCGTGCAAAATGTTGAGTCATTCAAAGGTGAGTGGAAGTTTATACAGAAAAATCATTATAACAATATGTCGATGCTTTTCTGTTTTGCTTTTAAATATTTTATTCCTATCATACTGATATCATTAGTTCTTTTAGTATATTAATGGTATCTTTCATTCTGTGATCCACATTAGTTTAGGGTGTATACTTTTTAGCACAACTCTTATTTATCATGTCTTGGTAAAATATCTTGTATTCTCTGAATTTTTTCAATAATGCATATCACTTTTCCATCATTTAAAAAGAAAAAGAGACTCAGATGTATAGAACAGACTTGTGGACTCTGTGGGAGAAGGCGAGGGTGGGATGTTTCAAGAGAACAGCATCGAAACATGTATATCTAGGGTGAAACAGATCACCAGCCCAGGTTGGATGCATGAGACAAGTGCTCAGGCCTGGTGCACTGGGAAGACCCAGAGGGATTGGGTGGAGAGGGAGGTGGGAGGGGGGACCGGGATGGGGAATACATGTAAATCCATGGCTAATTCATTTCAATGTATGACAAAAACCACTGCAATGTTGTAAAGTAATTAGCCTCCAACTAATAAAAATAAATGGAAAACAAACAAACAAACAAAAAATAAATAAATAAACAGCCAAAAATCTGTTACCACAATAAGTGGCAGGAAAAAAATTGGCATAAATCTTTTTATGAATAACATTACATAGGAACTTCCCTGGTGGCTCAGACAGTCAAGAATCTGCCTACAATGCAGGAGACCCAGGCTCAATTCCTGGGTCAGGAAAATCCCCTGGAGAAGGGAATGGCTACCACTCTAGTATTCTTGCCTAGAGAATTCCATGAGCAGAAGGGTCTGGTGGGCTATAGTCCATGCGGTTGTCAATAATTGGACATGACTAAGCAGCTAACACTTTTAACTTTTATTTTATCACATGGGCAAATTAAAAGTAATATGAACACTGTCATTACAGACTTATTTCTATAACCTTTATATTAGTTGTTTTAGGCCTCTATACAGCTACCATTTCAGAGTGTCAATTTATCCCATTTTTATTAGTGTATTCAAAAAGTTTTTCTCTCTAGAATTAAGATTAAGTTCTATCTGATATTTCCTTAGTCTTGACTTAGCATTGGCCAACCCTGTTCTTAATCTTGCAATTGAACTTAGATGATGTTCATAATTTAGACTCATTCATCATGCTAAAGTTTTTCATCAGTCATTATTTTCATCTTTTCCCAGGAGCCAAGATTAATGCTGATGAAGTAGATGGTGTTTTGAAAAACATAGGGATAGAACTCACACCTAAGGAACGCTGGAAGCTGCTTAAAACTGTACCACTTACTTGTGAGCATTTATGATACTGTTTTTGTCCTCAGAAGAGCTTAGTGTGAGTGTATTTATTGTTGGGGTAGGTAGGAATCATTAAACATTTATTCAGTGTATATTTATATTCAACATGTTTAATGAGCACTTCTTAGGTTATAGGATTAAAGACAAAAGTTCTTGCCTTCATGGAGGCTATTGTCAGAGATAGAGCTTACTCCATTGGAATTGAGCTTGAGAACATCATAAATGAATAAAGATTTTTAAATTGATTTTTTAAATTTAATTTAGGATTTTAATCTTGAAATGTCTAATAGAGAAATAAGGGGGGAAAAAGAGGAAGTCAGGTTTAAAAGGGTCAAATCAGAGAGACTAAAAGTTTCAGCCTAGTAAAGAAAGTTTAGAACTTTCTCTACCCCTTCACTTTATTCTTAAAACCAAGGAAGATAAGGATGTGTGGATGAGAAATTAGATCAATCTAAAAGGCAAATCATGTAACATTATTGTCTTTATAAAATAATCTGTTCTCTTCTTATGAATTGCTGTATCACATTTCTGTGTTAACAATAATGACTTCTCTTGTAGATGACAAAAAGTACTATAAAAAACGGTTGCTCCAGGGTGTAAAGACTTTCCAAGGTGAGTGTTAAGAATAATAAGTCAAGTGAAAATGATGTTTTTGACCTTTGTATTTCCTTTTGGAAGTCCTTTTAATTACTTAATAGTAGTAATAGCTAATTTCTCTTGAGTGTAGTGTCAAGCACTGTTCTAAATACATCTACTAACTCATTTAAGCCTCACAGAAATCTGTAAGTTAGCTTCTTTTGGGCTTCCCAGGTAGCTCAGTGGTAAAGAATCCACCAGCTCAGTGGTAAAGAGATGCAAGAAATGCAGATTCAGTCCCTAGGTTGGGAAGATCCCTGCAGGTGGAAATGGCAACCCACTCCAGTATTCTTGCCTGGAGAATCCCATAGACAGAGGAGCCTGGAGGGCTACAGTCCATGGGGTTGCAAAGAGTCAGATCGAATGAGTGACTGAGCACACACACTCTAGGTACTTTTCCTAAGTTAGGTACCATTTTACAGATGAGAGATGCTAACTCACTTGCCTAAGGTCACTCCATTTGAACTTGGGAGGATCATGATTTGAACCTACATTCTTAACTGCTCTATTGTATTGAACAGTTAGGTTATTAATCTTTTTTATTCCCCTTTATGACTTACAGTTCAAGTTCAGATAACCACTAGGTTATTTCCTGGGAGATAATTTACTATTATAATGACAAGTTTCAAACTTGGTAGCCAGAATTGTGACTAGCATTTCAGACATGTTTCTCTATCATTGATAATAAACGAATGATGACTAATATGTCTCATTCATTTGCTTTAGATGTCTATGACAGATTTTAGCAGAGTGCCTTGTAACATGTAAAGGAGATGTTTTTTTCTTCCCCTATCCCCTGCTACCTTGGTTTTCTATTTTCCTTGAACATCTGTACTGCAACTTTACTTTTCTCCCCCCCATTAGGGTTTGGTGCATAACACTTAACTAAATAATTTTTATTTTAGGCATAATTTTAATCTTTTCTCATTTCATCTCTTAATCAAGGAGGACATGTTTTAGAAAATAAACTAGGAACCGCTTTGACAAACCTGAACTATGAACTTGAAAATAAAGAATTAAATGATCTTCGTAACTATTTGGAAATTGATGGTGAGTATTTAATTTACCACTTGCGACCCCTTTCAGAAGAGCCTTTGAAGTCTTCTTGTAGCATCCCACAGTATACTTGTTCAATTTCATTTAGAAAGTAAGAAATTCTTATAGAGTTATGATTTTCAAGGAGGAGAAATATAGCTTCTGATTATTATTAGTATTGTCAGAGATACAATAAGGGCATTGGCAGATTAAGATTCAACTAGGAAAAACACTAGAAAGAAACACTTCAGGAAAAAATAGCAGAATCTACCAAAATAGATGTTGAAAAGGGTTGGAGATTGACAAAGTAAGAAGGTAAACAGGATTTGGAATTGTTTGACAGGTAATATACAAAGAGAGATTATCATTTTTCCATTTAGCAAATACGAGTATCAGGTTGAAATTGTCAGTGATATCTGATTTGAGACCAATAATATGGCAGCAGAGAGGTATCTTTTAGGTGGAAAAGGTCATCTAAGAAAAGCATTAAAGATCTGATTTAGCATGTTAAAACACCTTTAGAATTCTATAAGATAGTTGAATGTTAAAAAAACTTTCAAAAATCAACAAAAGTTTCTCTATGTAATAATGATAACTTAGGGGGACTGGGATGAGGAATACATGTGAATCCATGGCTGATTCATATCAATGTATGACAAAAACTACTGTAATGATGTAAAGTAATTAGCCTCCAACTAATAAAAAAAAAAAATAATGATAACTTAGAAAATTTCATGGGAAAAAAAATGATCCTAATCCTAATAGCAATAAATATTTTGTCTGTATCTGATTATCCTTTGCATTTCAGATAGTGGAAAAGTTCCTCTGAACTCCTTGATGAACATAGCAAGTTTATTTTCTGGTGAGTGAGAAGTGATGATGAAAAGATATAAAATCAAGATCTTTTGCCATATGTACATGTCATATTTTAATTATATATTCAATATTCTGAACATTCAGAAAACTAAGATCATGGCATCCAGTCCCATCACTTCATGGAAAATAGATGGGGAAACAGTGGAAACAGTGGCTGACTTTATTTTTGGGGGCTCTGAAATCACTGCAGATGGTGATTGCAGCCATGAAATTAAAAGACGCTTACTCCTTGGAAGAAAAGTTATGACCAACCTAGACAGCGTATTAAAAAGCAGAGATATTACTTTGCCAACAAAGGTCTGTCTAGTCAAGACTATGGTTTTTCCAGTAGTCATGTATGGATGTGAGAGTTGGACTATAAAGAAAGCTGAGCACCGAAGAATTGATGCTTTTGAAGTGTGGTGTTGGAGAAGACTCTTGAGAGTCCCTTGGACTGCAAGGACATCCAACCAGTCCATCCTAAAGGAGATCAGTCCTGGGTGTTCATTGGAAGGACTGATGTTCAAGCTGAAACTCCAATACTTTGGCCACCTCATGCGAAGAGCTGACTCATTGGAAAAGACCCTGATACTGGGAAAGATTGAGGGCAGGAGGAGAAGGGGATGACAGAGGATGAGATGGTCGGATGGCATCACCGACACAATGGACATGGGTTTGGGTGGACTCCGGGAGTTGGTGATGGACAGGGAGGCCTGGTGTGCTGCGGTTCATGGGGTTGCAAACAATCGGACACGACTGAGAGACTGAACTGAACTGAACTGAATATTCTGAAATTACACACATCTCATTTTACCAATATATTGATGTTTGTTTTTAAGTATATATATATATATTTTTAACTATCTACAGTTTTAGAAGTATCATTTTTTAAAAAGAAGTCTATTTTATTATAAGCTGGCTGGCTTGTCCTCATTGTTTTAAGAGCACTAATTGAACCATTCTTTTGGCAAGGCTTACAGGAAACATCTACTTTAATTCCTTCTTGTGATGCTCTGCAGTTACAAAAGCTTTATTGTAGCCTTTCTCCTCTGCAGTTACATCTGTAGCAAGTTAATATACTGTTGTTTTATTATAATTTTTTAGTTTAGAATTGTTATATATGAAAATGTTCACTTATCATGTCTCCCATCTTTTTAAAGGTCAGAAGATTAATGCCAAGGACACACAACTTTATCTGGAAAATATAGGTATTGAATTAACAAAAAGCGAAAGTGAGAAGCTATTGGACACACTGCCATTGGATGGTAAGCATTTCAGACATTGCAGTGAATTTTGGAGAATCGTAGACTTATGCATTATGTGCATTACATTCTAGAAGTATAATTGTTTGACATCATATTAGAAGTTAAGAGGTGACATTAGCAATGTGGCATGAAATTCATTCCTCCTTTTTATTTTCCCTTTTTAATCAATGAATTAGACATCCACTCATGAACCAAAGTGCCTTTGTGGGCATTTTGGCCCCTAGCACCTCACTCCCAAGGACCCTGGAAGAGTCTTGCCCATTGGACAACCTCTGTCTGGGCTGTAGAACCAACAGAAACAGCAAAACTGCCTAGACCCCTCTCACCACTGTCAAAATTGGGCAAAACTCGGGTGAGTGTTGAGCTATGCAGGCGCACATAGAGGAGTGTACTTGCAGGAGTCCAGCTTTCCAGAAGGGAAACCCCAGCACATCACTGGATAGAACAAAAAAAAAGAAAAGGTTTGTGTTGGTACCTGGCTGCTCCAGCAAGGCAGGACCACCAGAGAAATCCACTATTCCCCACTAGACCCACTAGTACTAAGCAGGAGCTCTGTGACTCTGGGGAAGGATATTGGGGAAAAGGCAAGAAAGAGTTCCAAAAATTAAAAGAATTGAGCTCAGGAGGAAGTCTACGCATGAGCTTCTGGGGGTACCACACCCAGGGATCTCTCTACGGGGTTCTCAGGCATCCCCAAGGTCTAAGTGCTAAGCCTCCCTCTACCTGCAGTCTGCTGCCAGCTTCTAGCACAGGGAAGGAAGATGGTCCTCAGTGGGACCAGCAACCACAGCTTGTGAGCGAGGAAGAAACTACAAGAGCTACAGCATCACCTCCTGGGAAACAGAAGATTTACAGTAGCCGGCCTGGTGAATTTTAAGATTTTTTAAAAAGCTTAAAATTTGGCCACAAGAGGGAAGCCTGCATACCTTCACAAAGACAATGGAAAAAAGATAGTAACACCATAGAACATAATACCCCATCTGAAGGTAACAAGAAAAGTTAAGGAGATATCTCCTACTTCAAATGCAAAGGCAGCAACACGTAACTACAAGGATGATGAAAAATCAAGGGAATATAGCTTTACAAAGAATAATGGTAATTCTCTGGCAGCCAAGCTCAAAACCATGAATATTGCAATCTAATTGATTAAATAATTCAAAATAATTATTTTGAAGAAATTCATACAAAAAAACTCAGAAAATTCAATGACATCAGCAATCAAATATACGAACAAAATAAGCTCTTTACCGAGAGGAAATTATAAAAAAGAACCAAACAAATTCTGGAGCTGAAGAATTCTGTGAATGAGATGAAGAAAGCAGTAGAGAGCGTCAGTTGCAAGGCAAACCAGATGGAGAAAAGGAAAAAATGGCTTGGAGGACAGGAATTTTGAAATAACACAGAAGAGAAGACAGAACAAAGACTTTAAAAGAGCAAAGAAAGCCTATGTGAGCTACGGAAGTCCATCAAAAGGCAAATATTAGAATAATCAGGATTCCAGAAGGAGAAAAAATGATTTCTTTTTTAAAAGAAATTCCGTTTTTAAAGAAATTAAAATTTTCTTTAAAATTTATTTAAAGAAATAAGAGCTGAGAATCTTCCTAAACCTGGAGAAAGACTTGGACGTACAAATCCACAAAGCTAATAGATCACTCTGTCATCTCACTGCAAAGAGACTTTCTCCAAGCCACATATTGAAACTATCAGAAATAATGATATTAACTAGACTTATTGTGATGATCTTTTCACAATAGAGTTAATTCTTGAACAATATGAGGGTTATGGGCACCGATTCTCCATGCAGTTGAAAATCTGTGTATAATTTATAATCAGTCCCCCATATATGCAGAGGACTCAGTCAACCATGGATCATGTAGTTCTGTAATATTTACTATTGAAAAAAATCCACATGTAGTATCTTTTGATATTGATTTCTAACAATTCCATGGTGATAAGAGAATGGACTCTGAATGATTTCAATACCTTTAGACCGTGAAATTTTTGCACCTTGTTTTATGTCTCTGGATATGTTCCAGTGTATCCTGGTTTTATAGACTATGGGAACTTGAATAGAATTCATATCCTGCTATTGTGGGAAAATTGTGTAAATCTTAATTATGTTGAACTGTTTCATAGTGTTTTTTAGGTCTACTGTATCCTATTCTGTCTATTCATTCTATTAATTTTTGAGAGTTTGATATTGAAACTCCAACTAAAAAATCCTAATTTTTATTTACTTAAAAAATAATTATAAGGTTATAGTGAAATGAAAATGAAAATTAAGGAGTAATAGAGGAGTAATAGAGGACTTTAAAAGAAAGAGAAAAAAATAAAGAAAAAAAAATTTTTCCTAATTTAAAAAAATAGTAAAAATATATGAAAATGAAAATGAAAGTAGGGTGGAGAGGAAGGTGGGAGGGGGGATCAGGATGGGGAAAACATGTAAATCCATGGCTGATTCATATCAATATATGACAAAAACCACTACAATATTGTAAAGTAATTAGCCTTCAACTAATAAAAATAAATGGAAGAAAAAAAATAATTGTAATATATAGTGGGACTATATGTAACTTTGTTCTATATTTTTCAAGTCTCCTATAAATGTGTTATCATACTTTCACAATTAAAAAAGAAGAAGAAATAAATCCACATTTAAGTGTATCTGTGCAATTCAGGTGCTTCTCAGATAGCTCAGTGGTAAAGAGTCCACCTGCCTATGCAGGAGACATAAGAAACACGGGTTCAGTCCTTGAGTGGGGAAGATCCCCTGGAGAAGAAAATGGCAACCCACTCTGGTATTCTTGCCTGGAAAATTCCATGGACAGAGGAGCCTGACAGGCTATACAGTCCATGGGGTCGCAAAGAGTCAGATATAGCTGAGCAGCGGAGCTTGCATACATGTGCAATTCAAACCTGTGTTGTTCAATGGTCAGCTGTATATACAAATATCAAATTAGGTTGTACACATAAAGCTAATATAAATTTCTGTCAATTATATCTCATTTTTTTAATGATAAAGAAAAAATCTTAAAGGCAGCAGGAAAAAACTGAAAAGGACCACCCCCACTCCCCGATTAGGCTATCAGTGGATTTCACAGCAGAAACTATAGCCAAGAGAGGGTAGAATGACATATGCAAGTGTTGAAAGAGAAAAGTTTTCAGCCAAGGATACTTTATCTGGTAAAGTTATCCTTCACATACAAAGGAGGAATAAAGGCTTTCCCAGAAAAACTAAAGCTGAGGGAGTCCATCACCACTAAACCTGCCTTGCAAGGAATGCTAACAGGAGTTCTTCAAGCTAAAATGAAAACACACTGCCCAGTGACGTGAAAACACACAAATGTACACAACACACTAAGGTGAAAAATATAGAGTCAGACTTGGAAAACCAGTTCTTCAAAATAACATGGTGTGTTAAGCCCTGAACTGTAGTAAAAAGATTAAAAGAAAGCACAGTGAACAATAACTATGCTGCGTTTGTGCTTAGTTGCTCAGTCATGTCCAGCTCTTTGCAACCCCGTGGACTGTAGCCCACCAGGCTCCTCTGTCCATGGGGATTCTCCAGGCAAGAATACTAGAGTGGGTTGCCATACCCTCCCCCAGGGGATCCTCCCAACCCAAGGATGGAAGCCAGGTCTTCCACATTGCAGGCAGATTCTTTACCATCTGAGCCATCAGGGAAGCTCCCCCAAAGTAACTATAGCTACTATAAATTGTTAACAAATATACATATTTTAAAGGAGGTAGATTATGACATCAATAATGTAAAAGAGAGAATGAAATGTAAAAGATGGCAGTCTTTGCAGGCAATCAGAGGTAAGTTGCTGAGAGTCAAAAATGAACTGTTATCTATAAGATGTTTTATGGAAGTCTCATGGTAACCACAAAGCAAAAACCTAGAGTAGACCCATGAAAGACAGTCAAAGGGGAAACAGAGCATATCACTTAAATAACCTATTTTAAAAGGTAGGCAGAAACAGAGGGGGGGAAATGGACTGCAAAATAGCAAGAAAACAAATGAATAAGATGGTATTAGTAAATCCTTACATATCAATAATTACTCTAAATGTAAATGGATTGAATTCACTATTAAAAGGCAAAGTGTAGCTGAATGGATTAAAAATAAGATCCAACTATTTGCTGCCTAAAGAGGCTCATTTCAGCTTTAAGGACACACATAGACTCAAAGTAAAGAAATGTAAAAAGATATTCCATGCAAATAGAAACCAAAAGAAAGTGGAGGTAGCCATACTTGCATCAGACAAAATAAACTTTAAGCCAAAACTGATAACAAGAGACAAAGGAAGTCATGATGCATAATTGAGGTAAATTCATTAAGAAGATATAACAATCAGCAATATGTATACATCCAGCATCAGAGCACTGAAATATATTAACCAAATACCAAGAGATCTGAAAAGAGAAACAGACAGTAATACTACTAATATATTTTGGGACTTGAATGCCTTACTTTAAATAATGGGTAGATATCCAGAGTGATGATCATCCAGAGTGAAAACCAAAAAGGAAACAATGGATTTGAACCATACTTTAGACCAAATGGGCCTAACAGACATCTATGGAACATTCTATCAAATAACAGCAGAATACACATTCTTCTTAAGTGCATATGGAACATTCTCAAAGTTAAATTATATGATTGAACACAAAACAATTCTTAAAATTTAAGACGATTTTGATTATAGCAAATGCACTGTATAAACACTATGATAGGAAACTAAAAAGCAACAACATGAGGAGGTGGAAAATCTACAAATATGTAGAAACTAAACAACATATTCTTGGGTCAAAGAAGAAATAAAAGGGAAATAAAATAATATATTGAAATAAGTGAAAATGGAAACACTATATACTAAAACCTTTTGTTAGGTAAGTTTAGAGTGATAGATGCATGTAATAAGAAATTATAAAGATCACAAATAAGCAGCCTAGATTCACACCTCAAGAAACTAGGGGAAAAAAATAACAAATTAAGCAGAAAGTTAACAAAAGGGAGAAAATAAGAGAGATCACAGTGAAAAACTGAAGTGGAGACCATAAAAACAATAAAAAAGATTAATGAAACGGAGTTGGATTTTCAAAAGATAAACAAAAATCAGTAAAACTTTAGCAAATCTAAAAAAAAATCGAAAGGCATAAAAAAAAAAAGAAAAAGGAGAAATTACAACTGATACTACAGAAATACATAGGATCATAAGAAACTACCAGAAGCAAATTATATGCAACAAATTAGATACCCTGGAAGAAATGGATAACTTCTTAGACTCATACGACTAACCAAGACTGAATCAAGAAGAAATATTGAATAGAAAATCCAAACAGACTAGTAGCAAGTAAAACTATTGAATCAGTAGTGAGAAAACTTTTCAGAAAAGAAAACCACAAGACTCGATTTGCTAGTGAACCACAATTCACTAGCAAATTCTGCAAAATGCTTAAAGAAGAATTAACACCAATCCTTCTCAAATGCTGCCTGAAAAATTGAAGAGGAAGGAAGACAAAAAGTCATCCTACAAGGCCAGCATCATGATAGCAAAGCCATATAAAGACATTACAATAAAATAAAGCTATAAGCCAATATCCCTGATGAATATGCTAGAGCAATCAGGTGGGACAAGGAAATAAAAGGCATCCAAATAAGATAGAATAAAATTGTTATTTATAGGTAATATGATTTTTTATATATATATACAGTTGGCCTTGAACAACATGGCAGTTAGGAACACCCGCAGTTGAAAAATCTAATTTTACAGGTGGTCATCTAAATCCACAGTTCCAATCCTCAGTTTTAACCAACTGTGGATCATGTAGTATTGTAGTAGATGTGTGTTGTTGTCTTATTGTTGTTCAGTTGCTAAGTCATGTCTGAATCTTTGTGACCCCCATAGACTCTAGCCCACCAGGCTCTTCCCAGTCTGTGAGATTTCCCAGGCAAGAATACTGGAGAAGAATACATGGAGAAGATCCTTCTCCATGGGATCTTCCTGACCCAGGAACAAACCCACGTCTCCTGCATTGACAAGCAGATTCTTTACACCGAACCAGTAGGGAAGCACTAGTTTAAAAGAAAAATTCACATGTTAAGTGGACCCATGCAGTTCAAACTTGTGTTTTTCAAGTATCCAGTGTACTGAAAATCCCAACTAAATCTCAACTAAATGACTGTTGAATTTAATCAATGAATTCAGTGAAGTTGCAGGATATAAAATCAATACAGAGAAATCAATTGCACTTCTAAATACTAACAGCAAAACATCTGGAAAAGAAGTAAAGAGAACTATCCCACTCATGATAGCATCAGAAACAATAAAATACTTAAGAATAAATTTATCCAAGATCATGAAAATTTTGTTCAATACTGCAAGACCTCATTGAAAGAAATCAAAGAAGATGTAAACAAATGGAAAGACATCCTGTGTTCATGGATTGGAAGTTAATATTGTTATACATTCCATGCTACGCAAAGCCATCTATAGATTAAATGTAATTCCCACCAAAATTCCATTTAAATTGAAATTTCTATTCCACAGAAATAGAAAAAAAGTTCTAAATATTATATGGAACTACAGAAGACCCCAAATAGCCAAAGCAATCATAAGAGAGAAAAACATAATTGGAGGCATCACACTTCCTGACCACTAGCTATACCACAAAGCTAAGGTAATTAAAGCAGTATGGTACTGGCATAAAAATAGACATATATGCGAAACAGGATAGAGAGCCTAATACTAAACTTTTGTGTATATATTCAATTAATATTTAATTAGAGAGCCAAGAACATCAAATGGGGAAAGGATTGTCTCATCAACAAATGATGTTGGGAAAACTGGATAACTACATACAGAAGAATTAAATTGGACCTCGACCTTACATAGTTCACAAAATTAAATTGAGATGGGTCAAATAATGAAATATTAAAACCTAATACCATAAAATTCATAGAAGAAAACCTAGAGAGGAAGTTCCTCAATGTTGGTCCTGGCAAGGATTTTTTTGGATATGACACCAAAAGCACAAACAACAAAAGAAAGGCTCAGCAAATGGGGCTACATCAGATTTAAAAGTTTCTGCACTGAAAGAGAAGCAATCAACAAAATGAAAAAAGGCAGCCTGTGAAATGGGAGAAAATGTTTGCAAACCATGTATCAGATAGGGGTTAATATCCAAAATACATAAACAGTTCATACAGCTCAATAACAAAAAAGAAATCCAACTTAAAAGTGGGCAGAGAATCTGATTAGACAGTTTTCCAAAGAGGACATACAGATGGCCAACAGGTACATGAAAAAGTGGTAATCACTAATCAGGAAAATGCAAATCAAATCCACAATGAGATATTATCTCACACCTGTAAGAATGGCTTATATCAAGAAGACAAGAGACAACAAGTATGCTCAAAGATGTAGAGAAAGGGAACCCTGTACACTGTTGGTGGGATTATAAACTGGTTCAGCCACTATGGATACCAATATGAAGTTCCTCAACAAAGTAAAAATAGAACTATCATATGATTCAGCAACCCCACTTCTGGGTATATATCCAAAGGAAATGAAAACTGGTTATCAAAGAGATGTAAATGCACTGCCATGCTTACTGCAGCATTATACGCAATATCTCAAATACGGCAACAACTTAAGTGGTCATCAGTGAATAAATATATAAAGGAAATATAGTATATTATATACAATGGAGAACTATTCAGTCATGAGTAAAGAGGAAATCTTGCCATTTGCAACAACACAGACTCTGAAGATATTATGCTAAGTGAGATTAAGTCTGAGAAATGCAAAGACGGGACGATGGTCTCTTCTATGTGAAATCTTTAGAAAAACTAACTCAAAAAAAGAGCAAGTAGAATGGTGGTTACCAGAGGCTGGTTGGGGGGAAGGATGAGAGAGATATTATTTAAGGATACATACTTGAAACCAGTAGATAAATAAGTCCTGGAGATCTAATACAGAGTATAGTGATTATAGACAACAAAACTATTATAAAAAAGATCTTAATTGTCCCCAGCACAAGAAGAAATGATAACTATGTGAAATGACAGAGGTGTTAGCTAATGATACAATGGCCCTCATATTGCAATATGAATGTATCATATCAATATGTTTCATGCCTTAAACTTACACAATGCCCTGTTTCATTTATATCTCATTTCTTAATTAAGAGAAAAATTAATGTCAAAAGTACCAATTCTGATATATAATATTCAGTTCTTCCCATTTAAATCCTTACTTGGAATGTAATGCTGTTTTGTGGGATACTGCTGTTACAGAAAAATAGCTTTAAATGTTGGAACCAACATCTATAACAACTCTAAAACTAAAAGTAGGGAAAGGTGGTAATCAGAGAGTTGAGGAAAGGAAGGAAGGTATACTGTAGAAAAAAAAAGAAAAGAAAAAATATCTGTTTTATAAACATATAAAATAGTACATCACTAAAAGTACATCAGATGCCAGAGAATGTATAGTTAACCTTGAGAATCGTATTCATTTCTTTGTTTCCTTCTTGGGATTTTAACTAATTAAAAGTATATAAAAATTTGCAAACAATTAAATAATACTTTCTGAGCTGCCACTTATTTATGAACTAAATTGACTCTTATCTTACAGAAAATCAAATGGTGTATAAAAACAGGTTGATGGATGGAGTGAAGAAATACAGAGGTGAGTGAGAAGCCTGCCAAGAAAGAAAAAATAGATCTTCAAGCTTTTGCATTTACTTTTCTACAATCTCTTTTATTTCTCACTGATTGGCTTGCTAATTGTATTAGTCTAGTTTTTTAATGAGCTAACATTCTTAGTTGTACACAATCTAAAGAAATAGCTACATTATTTTGTCAGTGTGGCAAAGTTTGAATTTTACTAAATGGTAATAATATGTGCATTGTCTCTGCTATAATTCGTTAGTCTTAGTACTCACCTCTTTCTTCCAGGTAAATTCACCTTGTAAACTGCTGTAACAGTGTTTCCTGGAACACTGAAAAGAATTTTTCTATTTCTAATTCCTCAACTAATTCTTTTTAATCACTTAAAGAGTTTTATGGTGTCATTGCTTTTTGCTTCCATTTATGTTGATTGACTGATATGACCAGGCATTTTTTTCCCCTTTAGCATAATCACAAATTTCTTTTATTCTTATCCCTTTTTTTCATAAGGAGGAAAGGTTAATATCAATAAAATAGATGATGCTCTTGAGAACATGGGATTCCCACTTGATGAGGAAGACATTGAGGAACTATGCAGTCACCTGCCGATTGATGGTAAGCACTTCAAGTACCCAGTGCCCTGTAAAAAAAATTTTTTATTTCTCTATAGAAATATATGAAGTATACTTGTTAATTTCTTGGAAAAAGCCAGAAGCATATAGAGAGCAAATCCTAAAAATCAGAGATATATTGTTTAAAAAAAAAAGTTTATTTATTTGGCTGTGCTGGGTCTTAGTTGTAGCGGGCAGGATCTTTAGTTATGGCATGCAGGATTTAGTCCTGACCAGGAATGGAATCTCAGACCCCCTGCATTGGGAGCTCAGAGTTTCAGGCACTAGACCATCAGGGAAGTCCCAGCAGTGCTGTTTTTAAAACAAGAAACTAATCTTGTTGTTTCTCCTGCCTTAATTTCTCCAGGAAATGTCTTTCAACTGTAAGATAAATAAGATCAGTGGATGTAATGTAAAACATGGTAACTGTCATTGATAACAGAGTATTGCTTAATTGAAATTTGCTAAGAGAATAGAATTAAATGTTCTCACCAAAAACAGATAGATAGATACATAGATAGTTACTAATAGATGGATAGATTATGTAGTGAGAGATATTAATTAACTAGATGGGGGCAACTTTTCACAATAATCACAGTGTCCAGTTTTAATATCTTACAATTTTGTCAGCTATAAAGCTGAAATAGAAAACAAGAAAAAAATAGGAAAGAAGTTTTTTTCTCTCCCAGTCTAATGAGTGAGTACAAAAAGTGAAAGGTGAATAAATGGAATCAATGTTTTCGTCATACTTAGAGTCTTTTTTTCCCCAAGCTTATGCTTTTATAGAGCTTCTCAGGTGGCACTAGTGGTAAAGAACTCATTTGCCAATGCAGGAGACATAAGAGACTTGGGTTCGATCCCTGGGTTGGAAAGATCCCCTGGAGGAGGTCATGGCAACTCACTCCAGTATTCTTACTGAGAAAATGCCACAGGCAAAGGAGCCTTGCTGGCTACAGTCCATAGGAATGCAAAGAGTCAAATAAAACATCTAACTAGAAGCAAAAAAAAACTCTCGGCAACTGCAAAATTCTTACATTTTACACAGTTTAAGAATTCTATATAATTGAGACCTGTATTAGTCTGCTCAGGCTGCCATAACAAAATACCATAGTCTGTGTGACTTAAGAGAAATTTATTTTCTCTAAGTTTTGGATGCAGGGAAATCCAAGATCACCACACCATTTGATTTTGTTTCTGGTGAAGGTTTTCTTCCTAGCTTACAGACAGCTGCCTTCTCACTGTGTCTTCACACAGCAGGGTGGAGAGAAAAAAAATCTTCCTCTTATAAGGCCACAGTCCTATTGGATTAGAGCTTCACCCTTACAACCTTATTTAACCTTAATTACCTCCTAAAGATTTTATTTCCAAATACAGTCACACTGGGGAATAGGGCTTCAACATATGAAATTAAGGGGACATGATTTAGGTCATAGCAGGATTATATCTAAATTTTGTTTTATTTTGTAGTTGAGAGGAAAGTTAAACTGGATAGACTTCTAGTTGAAGTACAAGAACTTCTAGGTGAGTGAGAAGAAATAATAAGGAATAATTTTTAAAAACTCAATACTTAACAAAAGAAGTTATTTTTAAAGTATTTTCTGTTAGCCTGTCCATGACATATTAATCCTGCTACTATATCTGTTTTAATTGGTAATGTGTACATAACTGAAAAGACAGCTTTATAAGCTAAATGTTATTCATTATTGTAATTAATTGTTACCTACTTCTTATTTTAAAGGCTACAGTATAATGCCTCAATAATAAACCCTTTATGCTTTGGTATTTCTCAATAATATTATTATTTTCCTGCTGTTGTAAAAGCAAAATGGCAAGGCAAATTACACATGTAGGTAATATGACCACTGAGAAGAAGCTCATAATTCAGGCAAAAATAAAACAATAGAGCAAATATTACATGCTGGCAGAATTATTTGCACCAGAAAATTTAATGAGCTGTTACAGAAAAACCGATTTTCTGTGTGTTGTGTTTGTTACTTGTTCCCAGCATTGAAGAACTCCATTTTACCAGAAAGAAACTATTTCTGAATCCCCCTTCTAATTCTAAGTAATTAAACAATACTTAATATTTCTATTGCTTTTTATCCTTTATTTGTGGATGATGCTACACAAACAGTTGATATCAGTAGTCGTAGTGGTAGTAGTATTGGTGTTATTTGTATTTTTATTACTATTATTGTTATTTAAAGCTTGACCTTTTATCATTGTTCTGTTTTTTAAGGGGAGGTACTCGACCATAAGGATCTGGGAAATCTTCTGAAAGACATAGGGTTAAGAAACCAACTGAAGGAGAATTCTGTGTTGAGGAAAATTTTGCCACTTGATGGTGAGCATTTAATTTACCAATGAAGTACTCATACATTCAGTGAAAGTGAATTGGTAACATTGGGTACAAATTAGGTACCATTGGGTACCATTAGGTACTAGGTATTATAATAGGCTCTGAGTCACAGAGATGAATAAAACAAAGTCCAGCTCCTAAAAGTACTCAAGGTAGAGACAGCACATGCTCCCTCCCCCCCCCAAAAAAGAAAAGAAACAAATAGTATACACAAAGGTAAGTGCTCTATGTTCATAAGTATGTACTGCTGTGGAAGTACAAAGGAAATTTTGAACAACTATTCTTGGAGACTCTTCACAGTGTGTATATCAATTCAAACAGTGCTGAAAGCTTTGACAGTAGAAGGTAACAAAATCTAAAAGTGTTGAAAAGGACAAAGAGGCACAACTGACCATGTAAAATCCCATATTGATATAGTTTAGAAAACACAGTGTATTCACATTATGTGGATAAATACTTTGTTAATTTGGCTAACTCAAATCAATAATTCAGATATAATCCATCTGTACAATGATGATGGTAAAGATAAAATGATGGATATGAAAATATGAAAGTGCTTTAAAATATTTAAAAGAAATATGTATATTATCTAGGGTGAAACAGATCACCAGCCCAGGTTGGGTGCATGAGACAAGTGCTCGGGCCTGGTGCATTGGGAAGACCCAGAGGGATCGGGTGGAGAGGGAGGTGGGAGGGGGGACCGGGATGGGGAATACATGTAAATCCATGGCTAATTNAGACCCAGAGGGATCGGGTGGAGAGGGAGGTGGGAGGGGGGACCGGGATGGGGAATACATGTAAATCCATGGCTAATTCATTTCAATGTATGACATTAACCACTGCAATGATGTAAAGTAATTAGCCTCCAACTAATAAAAATAAATGAAAAAAAATAATAATAAAATAATGAAATATATAATAAATATCTTAGTTATTAGATTTTTAATTAGTGAAATGCAAATCAAAACTACAGAGAGGTACCACCTGACACGGGTCAGAATGACCATCATTAAACGTCTACAAATAACAAATGCTGAGAGGATGTAAAGAAAAGGGAACCCTCCTACACTGTTGGTGGGAATGTCATTTGGTGCAGCTACTGTGGATAACACTATGGAGGTTCCTTAAACAACTGAAAATAGAATTTTGCTATATGATCCTACAATCCTGCTCCTGGGCATATAATTCAGAAAAGATGAAGACTCTAATTCGAAAAGATAGAGGCACCACAATGTTCATAGCAGCACTATTTATTACAACAGCCAAGGCATGGAAGCAGGCTAAATGTCCATTGAGAGGTGAATGGATAAAGAAGATGTAGTGTATATATATATACACACACATATATATACAATAGAATATTATTCAACCATAAAAAGGAATGAAATAATGCCATTTGCAGCAACATGATAGGAACTAGAGATTATCATACTGAGTAAAGTAAGTCAGACAGAGGACCAATCATATCACTTATATATAGAATATTTTAAAATTATGCATATGAACATATTTACAAAGCAGAAATAGACTCACAGACATAGAGAGCAAACTTGTGGTTACCAAAGGGAAAGGGAAAGGAAAGGATAAAATGGAAATTTGGGATTAAGAGATACACACTGGTATATATAAAATATATAAACAGCAAGGACCTACTGTATAGCACAGGGAACTATATTTAATACATTGTAATAACCTATAAAGGAAAAAATCTGGGAAGAATATGTAAGTATATATGTATGCAAACTGAATCACTTTGCTGTATACCTGAAACATTGTAAAGCAATTATATGTCAATTTGAAAAATAATAAAATAAAACATTTTGCTGAAACAAGTATAGAAAAGAGTGAAATTAAGAGAATTTCCAGGAAAATGATAAAGGAAAATCTCAACATAACAGCTGTGCATCGAGACTAGAGAGAGTATAAAGTAGATGACTAAAGAGAACCTACAGAATTGTTCAGGGATCTCTGCTCAGTGCTTTGTGATGACCTGAATTGGAAGGAGGAAATCCAGAAAGAGAAGATCTATGTATATGTAAAGTTGACTCACTTTGCTGCACAACAGAATCTAACACAGCATGGTAAAGCAGATATACTCCAACAAAAATTAATTTTTAAAAAAGATGAGAGACCCAGAGGGATCGGGTGGAGAGGGAGGTGGGAGGGGGGACCGGGATGGGGAATACATGTAAATCCATGGCTAATTCATTTCAATGTATGACAAAAACCACTGCAATGATGTAATTAGCCTCCAAATAAAAATAAATGTAAAAATAAAAATAAAAAATAAAAAAGATGAGAAAAATTGTTTAATTTAGAGCAGAAGAATATTGTCTCCAAAACAAGTGATCGTCTAGGGACTGGTAGAATATCTAACATTATTTTAACATATTGAGAGGAGATTTTTCAGTTCTGTTTGAGAGTTAGCGATTAATTAACTACATAGACACATTGGAAACTAAGCAAAATAAGATATTGTTACTAAGGAACTTATCTGCAGAGTAGAAATAGAGACACAGTAGTAGGGAACAGATCTGTGGACCCTGCGGGGGCAGGGGGGGTGGGAAGGTGGGACAGACTGAAAGAGCAGCGTCGACATATTACACCACCCTGTGTAAAGTAGACAGCTAGTGGGAAGCTGCCGTGTGGCCCAGGGAGCTCAGCCCAGTGCCCTGCGATGACCTCAATGGTGGAACGAGGGGCGGGAGGGAGGCCCAAGAGGGAAAGGAGATATGTAGGCCTCTGGCTGGTTTACTTTGCTGTACAACAGACACTAACACAATATTGTAAATTAATCTTATGCCAATAAAAAAACTGAAAAAAGGCAATCATTAACTGCAAGACAAAAATTTCAATAGGAAAGGAAATATGTTTATTAATAGTTATAGCCTATTATGGAATGGGAAGTATCCATTATGTGGCTTAGTTATAATATTTACATAGTCATAATAATGAGCAGTTAATCTCAATTACCAACCCCCCCAAAAGTGTGATATAATCATAATGGAAAAACAAGAAAGGACAAAGGTATGGGAGGAAGAGAAAAAAAAAATCTCACATTTTACAGAAGAAAGACCATTGGGTAATATCAAAGGCTAGTGACTGATTCTCATGTGAAAGTCTAAAAGCAAGAAACAGCAGAAAAACAAATATCATACATTAATGCATATGTACAGTATCTAGAAAGACGGTACTGATGAACCCATTTGCAAGGCAGCAGTGGAGACTCAGACTTAGAGATCAGACTTGTGGACACAGTGGGGCTGGGAAGGAGAGGATGGGACACACGGAGGGAGTAGCGTGGAAAAACAGGCACTACCATATGTAAAAATAGACAGCCAGTGGGATTCTCCTATTTGAATCAGGGAGCTCAGACCAGTGCTCTGTGACAACCTGGAGGGGCGGGGTGGGGTGGGAGTGGGAGCATGGTTCAGGGAGGAGGAACATATGTGTACCTATGGCTGATTCGTGTTGATGTAAGGCAGAAACCAACACAGTATTGTAAAGCAATTATCCTTCAATTAAAAATAAATAAATTTTTAAAGAAAAGAAGCAAACTCAGGTCATCAGTAATGACAGAGCAAAGAAAGGCTTGTTTGAAGTTCCTTGTACTTTCAAGATTTGGGGTTTTTTTTGTTTGTTTTGTTTTGTTACTTTTGAGGTTTTGTGAGGTAAGGACACAAAGTTTTTTTCATGGACTGAGTGAAAGGTGTACACTCTTATCTCCTTGAGGTATGTCTAATGTTTAGCAATTCTTTTGTCATTAAATTTAATTATATTGTGGTCAGAAAATACATTATGTGTGATATTGATCCCTTGGGAATTTTTCTAGTATACCTTTATTACTGAAAACACAGTCTGTTTTCTTTAGTATTCTATGTGTTCTCCCAAGAAATGTACATTCTGTTAGTAAGTGTGCTTAAACATTAATTGTTTTGTTCAAATCTTCAATATGTATTTTATTTTTGTTGGCTTGGTATGTGATTCTAAATAGGGATGTAAAAAATCTCCAATTATAATTATACTATCTCTCCTTGCAGTTGTCAGTTGCTGCTTTATATAGTAATAGTTGCAGGCCTCATTGTTAGGTGCGTGCATATTTATGGTGAAAATATATTTTGTTCTATTGATCCTTTTATAGATAAATAGCCTTCTTTATCCTTTGATGTATTTTGCCATAATTCCTATTTAGGTAAAAGGATTGCTACCCCAGCTTTCTCTTGGTTTATATCCATGCTGTTATCAACTTTTCTATGTCTTTTTACTCTGTGTCTCTTGTAGACAACATATTATTTGGTTTTGTTGTTCAGCATACTCTGACAGTTTCTATTTTGTAATTGTTGAGTTGAACTCACTTATAATTATTATAATTACTGTAATATAGGACATAGTTCTGCTATCATATTTCGTAGTTTGCAGTATTTTTGTTACTTTTTTCAACCTTTATAATTTCCACTATATTCCTTGAAACTTCTTCTGGAAGTTGAAAAGTTATAGTGGTTGTCCTTATTAGGACATATTCATGGCCATTTACCCTAATGATTCCTTAAACTTGTCAATCTATATCTTCCCCCAGTTAAGACAAGGATTTTAGTACACTTTCATGACCGATTTGTCAACTTGCTTCCTATCCCAATCATACTGATATTTATCCAGGATGTAAGAGTCGGTTATTATGGATAATATCCTTTCTCTTTTTCCTCTGTACCTAGCTGCATTTAGTCACTTAGTCATGTCCAACTCTTTACAACCCCATGGACTGTAGCCCTCCAGGCTCTTCTGTCCATGAGGATTCTCCAGGCAAGAATACTTGAGTGGGTTGCCATTTCCTCCTCCAGGGGAATCTTCCCCACCAGGGATCGAACCCAGGTCTCTGGCTTTGCAGGAAGATTCTTTTCCATCTGAGCCACCAAACAAGCGATCTGAACCTAGACTTTTTGTAAATCTGCAATAGACTTAACCAAAATATCTGAAGATTTTTTTCTTGCCATACCTCTTGTATTCTGTCCTACATTTGCTTTACTTACTGAGAGCTTACTTTAAAAACTATTTTCAATATGATTCTCTGTGTGATTAGTACTACACATTGAATACCTGAGAATGTTTCTTATTGTGCCTTTACACTTAGGTAACATCTTGGGTGTGAGGTCAAAGTTCTTTTCATGTTTCAGTAATAACTGCTCCGCTGCCTCTCAGCATCCAGAATTACTGTTGAGAAATCTGATCTTTCTTCCTTTACAGATGAATTACCTTTCTCTTTAAAGAATTTTAGAATTTTACCTTTTTATTCAAAATGTTTAAAGTCATTATTATGTGTTCTCCCGGCAATCTTGATTCCAGCTTATGCTTCCTCCAGCCCAGCGTTTCTCATGATGTACTCTGCATATAAGTTAAATAAGCAGGGTGACAATATACAGCCTTGACATATTCCTTTTCCTATTTGGAACCAGTCTGTTGTTCCATGTCCAGTTCTAACTGTTGCTTCCTGACCTGCATACAGGTTTCTCAAGAGGCAGGTCAGGTGGTCTGGTAT